TCTTCAAGAACAGAAGTGGACTCAATTACTTCATAATACCTAGATTCAGTAGAAAACAAAAAAACAGATTTCAATGTTAGAATTTTATACTAATATAATAGTTGTTGAAAACTTCAAACATTTATTTTTAAAGGCATTTAATTATAAAAATACCTGAAGTAAAAAATATTTTTATAGTAAAAGATCCTAAGGCCCAGAAAAGGACAAAAATAAGCAATAGGCACACACATACAGTACTACAGTACCTGAAAGGATCAGAGTAAGATTTCAAAATTATTTATCCCTATATCATTTCTCAAATTTCTGTTACTCTTTAACCTTCAGGGATCTAGGTAGCAGACCTTCCTGTTCAGCCATTTACCCTGCCAAATATGCTCTACAGTAGAGATTAAAGTTTTTAAACACACTAGGATATACAATACCAACTTTTTATATTTACCTTTCTGATACTAATGCAATGCGACCATAATCCCAAAATCTTCTTCTAATAAAGGAAAATATCAACACCAACACCTAGAAAATAAAAAGTGGATCAATTAAAGGTTCAATATTCATTTTGAATTATATGTTTCCTCCACTTTGCTTTGCTTTTAGTTTAGACAATATAAAAACTTCAAAATCAAGTAGAACATCAACACAAAGTAATCTAATATTTGGTAAGGAAGATGCATTAGTTAAAAGAATGCTCTTTTTAAATATTATAGTTGCATAGATTATATTATTATATTATAAAAATATAATGAATACTATTAAATTGCATTAGAAAAACACTCAAACAAACAAATACTACCCTTTAGCTTGGCAAACAGTACAAATTTTTTCAGATTCAAGAGAATGAAGTAGGATTCCTATCAGCATGGCAAGCCCTATTTTCCAGCACAGTTCTCTAGTGGAGCAGGGAGAATGGAATATTGAAGCCCTTCTTTTATATATATATTTCAGCAAAATGAAATAAACTATTTATTCACTCCTCAAATTGCCATGAGCCAACAATGTGGAAGAAAAAAGATCAGTTAGCTACAAAAAAAATAAATCAAGCTTACCAAAAAGCAGATTACATCAAGCAGCAGGACAGTAGGAACCCCACCAAAGGTTACTCCTTGAAGTACAGTAGTTCCTGGTGCAGAACTGTAACAGTAGGTCCCATTTTGAGACTCAGTATCATTTCTTCTACTTAACAAGTGAACCATGTGTGAATGACCAACATCAAAAGTCAGGAATGGAATCATGTTGTCCTACTTGAAAAAGAAATTGCATAGCAGGAAAAATACACTTTTACAGATTATTTATTTTTGTTTTATTTTATTAAAGTTATTTGCCGCCCATCTCATTTTGAAGCGAATCTTATATTTTACAGTTCGGGGGGGGGGGGGGAAGCAAGATTACTTTGAGCAAAAACTACCGTATTTAACTTTAAGCAATACTTAGAAGTTTTCATTAAATATTTCAAAAAAAAAAAAGATTAAAATAAACATCCTTTAGCATGGCAACATTTTAATAATATTCCTGCATAAGGGTTAATAAGAATTATGACTGGAAGGCGGCACAGGTACAGAATCTCTTATTTTACTTTTAATATTTTCAAAGATATAGAACACTCATGAGACAGACTAAGTAAGTGGATCTCTATATTTTAGCTTTACAACCTGCCCTACAGCTTTAATCCAGTGTACTTTCTGACACCTAGGTTATGTAATTACCTAATCTATTTAAATTGAAGGACTAAAATTTTTGACATAATAGCGTTTGTCTATTTGTAGTCAGTTTTCATAGCCGTTCAAGCATGAAAGAAACTTGCTCATTTCCAGCCATCTACAAGTATTAAATTGCCTTTAAAGCTATAAAGTGGTCATTTATAAACCACTTTCAGAAAAAGAGTTGTTCACTTAAAAAATTCAAAATTATGCTTGATAAGCAGGGGCAGCTGTGCCAAGAGGAGCCTTTACACAGGTCCATTTTGTATGCCAGTTATGACCCCTCTTGGAACAGAAGTGTTTACTTCCAGTCATTTATGCCTTTGACATCATCTGACTGGATTACTACAATATACAGTCATCTATCTGGGGCTACCCTTGGAGAGAGTCAAAATGTACATCTGGTCCAGAATGCAGAGATTTGAAAGGTATGCTTTGGACTTTTTATATAATACACTGCTACAAGTGCTATACAGATTTCCTATTTGCTCTTTGATACAATGGAAGTTTCTGTTTGTCACATTTAAAGTCCTTTATGGCTCAGGACCAGAATATCTAGAGGACTTATTCCCAATAGCTTCTGTCAATCCCTTTAAGATTTGTTTGAGTGTGTTCTTCTGTGACCCTTCACTTAAAGAACATTATCTCCAGGGATCTTAGAAGTGAACCTTCTTGTTGCTGCCATGTAAAACAGCATCCTGCAGATAGGCAAATGGGACCTTCCCTACTGAGTTTCAGAAGGACCATTAAAGCATGGTCATTTTAGGAGGCTTTGGGGCTAGAATTTTATTCCTTCTGACAGTGTATTGTCCTCCTTTCCCATTTTTGGTTTTATTATTTGCTGTTGAAGATAGAGATATAGAGATATTTTCTTTGTGTATATTGTTTTTAGACCAGCTGGGATGTATGCCATTGCAGATGTACACTATAATTAGATTGGTCTATAAGCCCAATAAAATAAATTAATAAATATTTCTAAGAGGTACAAACTATCATTCCTTTAACCCAATTTTACAGTTGCAATTACAATTTATTTACCTCCGATTCAGTCATTTGTTTTTCCAGACATTAATGCAGTGAATTCTGAAAGAGTGTATAAATCAGGCTAGAACAAGGCTATTCGCCCAAAATAAATTATAGGCAAATTGATTGGTGATGTAATTAGAAAATGCAGTTTTTCCCTGTCATAAAAACATAAGATTCCAACTATTCCATCAGGAAATCAGAATCCATAAAGCAAAATAATTTAGTCATCACAATTCCATAACAGATAAAACATAGTTTAATACTTCTCCTTTCTGAAATTTCAAATTGTTTCTTAAAAACAGTTTCAAAAATTCCTGCAGATGGCAGAATGGAGTCATTTTCACTTGCCACCAATAATTGAGACTGAAATATTTCCAGTCTTAGAATGTAGGTATAGATAATTTACTAAAGTTTTCATAATGCCTGTGCTTATTTGGACAGACTTAAAAAAAACCTCAAGATCACTGCATAAAATATCTGAATATTGAATAGAACGTTATTCTCTCTTACTATATAAAAGTAATAGAGGCCTAACCTTGCTTTGCACTTCCTCTTTCCTTAATGTCATTTTTCACTAAACTGAAGTTCAAGAGATGTGGTCTTCTGCATCAATAATTCTCCTTTCTGAACTTCAAGCAACTGTCAAAACTGAACTTGGGACAACAGGGAGCAGCAGGAGAAGCTGCAGGGACCTACCAGATCTAGGGTGCAAAAATCTGGCAGACTATTAAGGCGATAGAGAAGAGGCAGGATTTTCTTTTTGGCTGCCATCTAATGGTCATCCGGATTTTGCACCCCGGATCGGGGAGCACTCTATAAATTAAGCTCTTAGACCAAGGCAAGATGACAGTCAGGAGGGCGAAGCAAAGTGATACACGACAAATCCCCTCGGAACAAAATAACGACAACAGTTGGCAAATTGGGAAGATTATGGGAGTCGCTTAAGGAGGCGGGGAGGTCTCGAAGACCCAAGACCAAGCCAGTCGCTCCCTCCGTCCGCTCCCTTCTCCCAAAGCAGCTGGTCGGCGGAGAGATGAGGCAGCCAAGGGGGAGCGATAACAGCTGTTGCCGTTCTCGCTCAGCTTTTTCAAAGACGCTCAGCTCCCGCTTTTCCTCCCGCACTCCTAATTGCTGGGTACTTTTGGCTTTCCCGCTTCCCAAGGTTGGCCAGCGCGGCCAACCAGAGCCTGAACGAGAGTATTTCTCGCCCCCCCCCCCGCTTCTCCTCGGCTTCGGCCACCAGCAGCCCAGCCCCCGACCTACCGTTCTACGGAAAACCAATAGGGAACAGCGCAGCTGCTTCGCTCTTAAAGAAAACAAGAGGGGCGACTCGGAAAGCCGCGCATGCGCCGCCGTTCCGGAGGACGGAGTAGATGGAACTGCCTTCCTCCCTTTTAAGATTAGGTGCGTCGGACGGTGTTTCCACAGTGGTTCAACCTGCTTGCCACGTGGGGCATATTCTCTCCCCCCTCCTCCCCCCACGACGTATTTGGGAGATTAATCCGTAAAGTTAACGCTCTTCGAGGTGAATGCAGCCTTCAGAGGAGGCGGCGTTGGCGTCAGCGGTCTTTGAATCCTAAAATATTTAGAGCCCAAGGGGATGGCAAAACTTTTAATAGTTCAGTTGCGGCGTGAGAAGCCCGGTTTCAGATAGCTGCTTTTAATACGGCACAGATCAGCGGGGTACGATCTGTAGCGATAAGGGAAAGGCAGTGGACAGATGGCGATTTACTAGGGCAAAAGTGGAGGACACGGGTTTTTCTAAATTTCCAACTTCCCTATTTGGCTGCCCTTGGTTGGATTTGAAAATTGGTTTGCTAGTGATTCTCAACCTCGGCTACTTTAAAGACCTGTGGACATCAACCTCTCAGAAGTCCCCAGTCGAAGGCGAGAGGGAATTGAAGTCTATAGGGCTTAAAAGACTAAGTTGAGAAACTCCTGTCTATGGAGAGTCTCGGTCATCCAGGTCATGGTTGTCCCAAAGGTGCTGTTGCAAGAGGCAACTGGACTTTCTTCTTCAGCTTCTTGGATGAGAAGCTAAAAGTCTTCAAAGAAAAACAAGAAAGGCCAGTTGCCTCTTGAAAAAGCACTTTGGGTTGAGAAACACGGTTAAGCAAAGGCTGGAGAGCTTCCTTCCCACAATCTCTCCTTGTGGTAAGGCTTAAACTAAAAGGCTTAAGCAATGTTACAATAATGGAATAGTGTTTTTCCTAAAAGTTGTAAATCAACAGAGACAGCACCAATAGATAAGAGAGAGATATTAGAGGGATAAAGACTTTGTGAGATGGGCAGTATGCAAATCTAACAAATCAAATATTTAAAGAAATTTGTCCCTTGTTTAAGATTAATCATTTTCTCTGATAGAGATTTTTATCAAAACACCAACTGATGCATCAAGAATTACCTTCAAAAAGCATTTTTCCCATAACATGGGCAATTTATCAACAGTTGGCTAAGAGATTAACATAGAGTATTGGATTTTCTCAAATGAAAAAATAGCTCTCCTTTAAAAAGGTAAAAGGTATTTTTTGTGTATTGTATTTGCATATTAGATCTTTTTAATATTTCTAGTTTGTCCACTCATTTTCAGCTGTCCACAATGATTTATTGTGTTACCCAGCCATTTCTGTGGCAACATAAAGCCTATTTTAAACCAGGGATGGCAAAGTGATGCTATAAATCACTAGTGCAGAAACAGATGATATCTAGAGACACCTTCTAATTTGCTGCTCTCTTCCTGTAGATATTAACAATACTGGTATTTGCCACAATATCAAGAGTCTACAGAAACTGGTCTATCTTTTTACAGTTTTTAAAAGGTATTATTACTAACAGGCAACGTACGTTAATAACCTTTTTACCTAACTAATACCTGACTACTAGTAACTTATTTGCAGAATATTATAGTTGGGGTGGAAACTAGGATTGTGGATCAGATGATACGTTCTGATTGTAATGCTAACTCATTTGTTTTCCCATATATTTTCTTTAATGAACAAGTATACATCTTTCATTTCTTTAATTGACTTCTCTATCACTTGTGTGGAAAATAGATCATATTTTAGGTCATGTTAATGCAACAATATTGAAAATTCAGACGGGTTTATAATTGTTTAAGCACCACTGTAGCTTCAAAAACCATAGTGAACACTGAATATGCTAATGTATGAGCTCAAAGCTTAGCAACACATAGAAATATAAGCTCAGCATGGTAATTCTAAGAGAACATGTAGAGATCTACTTGGCTATTGTAACATTGCATTAGTTTACTATCTATTTATTAAGGTGAAAGTAACACTTTGGTTAGGATTGGTTTTGAATTTTTCTCACTAATGTGCATAAAAGCTTTTATATGAAACAATTCTACCAATACATCTGTCTTTTTCCATTTCTGACTTTATAAATTGGAGTTTGAACTGAATGGCTTGTTATACTATTGGCAAATTCAGTATCTATTTATAGTGAAAAGATAAAATCTCCCTCAAATCTGAATCAGTTCTTGGTGACTTCATGTCCTTGCAGTCCTCTAAGCATGATTTGGAAATGGTTTGATATTGCCTTCCCATTGCCTCAATTCCTCAGTATAGACTACAAGCGTAGAATAGCAAAAGCATCTATGTCTGCCATCCAAGTATAACTAGATTTGGCCTTGTTTACCTTTCCAGAGTTGGCAAAAGTCAGCTTGGTGGTGCCATATAGATGGTTCAGTAACTACCAAACATTTACTTTATAGTCCTAGAAATAAATGGAAACCTAAAGGCAAAATCTAATTATACGGATCAACTATTCAAATCTTTCATTATATTTTGTATAATCCACTTATCACTTGAGTAATCTTAACACCCAAGAGTTAGGGTGCACAATTACTTACATTTACATGTGTGATTGTATCCACATGACTTCAATTAGTGAGCCACGGTACACTCCTAAAGAGTAAATTCAGCTTCTTCTTTTGCTTCCCAGCAGGATTTTCCTTTATGGATAATCTTCCCGAGGAACACATATATCCTTGAGACAGCAGGTGGTATGAGGTGTTGTCCCATAACATCTATCTGTGGTTGTATTATTTCCATTACAGATTTTCTTCCAGTGGTGAAAGTGAAATAAAGATTAGATTATCTGTTAAATGCCTCTTTGTTAAAATTCTAGTTATTACGATTAATTCACTTTCCTAACAGTGCCTGCCTTTTAAATGTTTCTCCTCTGAAAATTATTTCACATGTTATGCTTTTTAGAAAGTTCAAAACATTCTTAAAGATCCATCTCATCCTGGGCACAATTTTTTTGACATTTTACCATCTGGCAGACAGTACAGGATAATAAAAACAAGGACAAATAGGCTGAAAAACAGCTTTAGGGCTGTAACAGGACAATAACTATATTGAATTCTACTGTATAGTGCAATATTAATGCAATACCGGGTTTTCAATTCAATTGTGTAGAATGTGAAGGATATGTGTTTATGTTTTATTTTTATAGTTATAATGTTCACTGAAGATAGCATTTAATTTCGTTGTACAAGGTGCAATGACAATAAAGTAAACTAAACTAAATTAGAATTAAATAATCTGTACATTTTTTTACAGAATCTGTTTTTAAGGTTCTGATTTGAAAATGTTTTTCTTCCATTTTTAATTTTTATTTTCAAAAATATTAAATTGTTTTAAACTCTCATTTATCTACAGAATTCCTTCTGTATATTCCAAAGTAAGACTGATATTAATTATCTATGCCGCCCAGATCACCTAATAGGAACTCATATAATTCTAGATTTCCATGTGAAAAAAAGAAGGGACAGGAAGATTTGAAATAAATAAGGAAGCCTTATTCATCTGTATGTTCAATATGCTTATACTTTTTCAAAAGTTAATACATGAATTATATTGATAAAGTATAGAAAAATTCCCTTTTTTTGTTGTTACTTTCTCCACGTCCTTCAAATAAATCCTTTGTTCTTATCTTCCTTTTTCTGTGGTGTTTCCAAGCCCTTAATTCTTAGAATTTCTTCATATCTTTAATCAACATGGTAAATAGATTGGTTGGGTTGAGTAATCTGTGTTCAGACTTCAGCCAGAAGGAGGGGAAGAAAAATATTTTGCAATCAGCAATTTATGCCTTAATACATATTCAAATACTTGAACTAATTCAAATGAATTACGGTAATAACAGTAACTATTTCTATGGTATAAAACCTTTTTATTTAAATCATTTAAACAAATACTTACTACTCTGAGTATTTGCTTTGTGGCAAAGTTTTCTCGACAAAAATTCTGGCATGTTGCACTGAGTTCCATTGCAGAGTGCAGAGTGTTTTTGTATGTATTTTTTTTTAATGTGGAATCTATAGGCAATGACCTTCAAATATGCATACTTAAGGTTTTTTTACTTGAATAGATAGTCCTGCATCCAGAATCTGCCTCCAATCTAAATAAGATGGCCATGTGTCCCATATTATAGAGAAAAGTGCCCTTTTAGCCTTTTTATGAGTGTGATTAAGAATGATAAGATAAATTGATTATCTTTCCTATTATTGTATTTCTTTTAAATTCTAGGATTATCTTAACATTTGCATTCATTATATCAAATAACAAACATATACATTTCATGTAGATTTTTCTCCTTTCTCCTCTCCGCCTTCTCCCCCCCCCCCACATCAGTATCTAAGTGGCTAGTGCAGCCTTTAAGAAACAGGAAAATCTGATGCCAGTATTCTTGATATGGGGAGTAACTACATTGATCCTTGTATCCAACTACAATGGTGTCAAGATAATAACTGGTGCATCATTAGATTGCTGTGCAAAGGATACAGCTTAGTATTTGCACTGTGATATCTGGTGCCTATATAAGTTGTCTTGTTTGCAACATGGCCTCCTGATATATGTGCCTTCGTGTCATAGGGTAGGAGTTTATAATTACTGGTACTGTAGTTTATTGCATCCATTGGTTTTATTTGCTTTCAGCAATTTAGAATAGATCAATAAGTTTATTTTTTATATATATAAACAGATATTACTGCTAATTGTACATGACATAGTATAAATACTACTGTTATTTTTGTTGTAGATATTCTTCTGCCATTGATTTTCACCCAGATCACTACAAATATTACCTCTTCTCTAATTTGCAGACTTAGAAGGAAAGCTAAGCTGGTTTTGCAGTAATACTTCACAGATCTTTAGCAGGGATCATTTTCTGCCATGCTTCTTCTGACTGAACTTTTTCTCAAGGTTGACTGAGAAGACACCTTCTAGAGATTGCAAATTACTTGTCTTTTATTAGCATGCAGCTTGTAGCAATTTCCTTTGAAGATCTTTATTAATGCATTCATATAACACCTTGTAGAAGCTTCTGTTCTATTTGCAGGAGCTTTAAAGTATAGCTGCCCCTGCTGTCCCATGGTTAAATTAAATAAAATTGGGGGGAAATAAAATGTCAACAGAGCTGAAATTATAGGGAAAAGCTTGTTTTCAGAACACTGCATAATTAATTGTGCAAACTGAAGCTACAAAATGCAATGAGAAACCAAGAAAGTCAGATTGGTACAATAGAAGACAAACTTCTTGGCTTCCATCAAAGATTGGAGTAGAGATCATTGGAAGTATAACAAATCTCCTGATTGTAGTGGAATTTAAGTAAAACTAGTTTGCTTTTTCCTGATGGGTGTTTTATTTTGCTGTGTTACTCACTTTTTAAATATTTCAGTGGATCATTAGGTCTATGATAGAGCTAGAAATTCTAAAATACATTAGCATAAATGCATAGTGGCATCTCAGTTCCTATTGTGGGAGATAGAGCCTGCTGTGACAGAGAGATAAGAGGCAGATCTATGAAAGGAGATACAAATATTTCAGTTATCCTGGTTCTTACTGCTGTTTCTTCCTACTTGCAAGACTGACTGCTCTCATGTACACCACATAATTAGATCACCGGTAGACATCCTTTATGAATCTCACTTCAGATTAATTGATATCTGCCATTAATTTTGCAGGATCCCAAGTTATGGAGAAAAGCACCATTGGAGCTGAAGCAAGCCACTTCTTTGCTACAGTTTAGGAGGGGATTTACTCAAGCCTCTTCATTGGTTTAATGTTAATTATTTTAACTCTTTTAATATTGTCTCATAGTATTGTTTTAATAATGTGTTCAGATTCCACATTGTAGTTTGTATATTTGCGGTCCTATGTTCTTATGTAGTTTAATTGTGCAGTACAATTTCTGAGTCATAAAATTCAAGTTTTGATATGTATGTGTATATTTATTTATTTATATCCCACCTTTATTATTTTTACAAATAACTCAAGGCAGCAAATGTATCCAACAAATCTTCCTCCTCCTATTTTCCTCATGACAACAATCTTGTGAGATGAATTGGGCTGAGAGAGAACTATTGGCCCAAGGTTACTCAACTGATTTTCATGGCTAAAGTGGACCAGAACTACGGGTGGGCTCCTGGGGTTCGCAGGGGTTCAGGAGAACCTCTAGCTAAGGTTCTGTGCAATTTGGAGAACCCCCAAATCCCACTCCTGGCTGGCCCCACCTATCCCATCCCTCCCAGGAGTCCCCATGCTGTCCTTTTTGGATGCAGGTAAGTGCAGGGCACGCGCAGAGGCTGTGGGAGGACAAAAACCGGGCCTCCAGGAAGTTCGGAAGTTCCAGAGGGCCTCCGGAGCCTGGGGAAGCTGTTTTCCCCCTCCCGGAGGCTCAATAAAAGCCTCCGGAGCCCAGGGAGGGCAAAAACGCCCCCCCCTCCCTGATGGTGCAGGAGGCCGACTAGGCTATGCCCACAATGGCCACGCCCACCCAGCAACCGGGCAGAGAACTCCTTGCTAAAATTTTTGAAGCCCACCCCTGACCAGAACTCATGGTCTCCCACTTTCTAGCCTGGTGCTTTAACCACTTAGATCAAACTAGCTCCTGACATGAGCCAAACAATATTCAAAGGAAGTCAAAAACAAACTAATTTGATTTCTAAGGAATTGAACTATATTTCCAACCTTTCATTGGCATCCAGGAGTTCTAGTGTTCACAGAAATCTTGACAGAGTTATATTGTTCCAAAACACAGCCAATCCGTACATGCTATAGAATGAACTGATGAGATCAAAGGATTTTTTTCTGTTTAAGTTAAATATGGCTTAATCTTAATAATAAATAAGATTTTCACTGTGCCTGGAGGCTGTGAAGGCCTGGCTGGATGGGAAACAATAGACTTTAGCTGAATCCCAGCTATGAGTGGCCTCTCTTTATCCAGGAGTTTATCATCTTTGGTCTTGGATGGGGTTGCCCTACCCCAAACAAACCCAATGCATAATCTGGGGCTTCTCCTGGATTTAACAGCTCTTGCTTGAAGAGCAGGTGGCAGCCATGGGTACGAGGGTCTTTGCTCAGCTTCATGTTGTACACAGTAACTCCTTTTCCTGGATAGGCTTTCCTCTCAGACATCCATGCCCTGATCATCTCCAACCTATTGCAATGCACTCTACATGGGATTAGCCTTGAAAAGTATCTGGAAGCTTCAGATGGTTCAAAACACAGCCATGTGTGGGCAATTTTAGATGCCTAAAGAAGGGCACATGTAAGAGGCCGACAGAAAATGTGTCTAGATAGTTTCACAACCATTAATTCCTACCCCACCCCCAACCCCCCAAAAAATACACAGAGTTGTTGAGATGTAATCCTGGCAAACTGTTATTTATCAGGCCATATAAAGATGGAAGCAACAGTAACTGAGGGAAGCAGGAAGGCTGAAAACAATTTATCCTGAATGCTTTGATTGTCTTCCTATGGGAAGCAGGAAGAATCAATGGTCTCATTGGTTCCTTCGAATTCTATGATCACTAAGTCACTTTTACACACACTGCTATTTTTTGTTATAGTATTGAGAGCTCTTAAAATAGGGTTACTATATCTGTGCTGCATAAATATGAAGGGGCACTTAATGGAAATTATCTCTTTGTTGTTCTCTAATCATTGACCTTTTTTTGGTTGATGGAAATGTAAATTCTTTGTTTATTGAATGAATACTTGGGAGCCCAACTAACATGGTAACCCTTGAATCTATGTGAAATAAAATGCTTTCCTTTTATTTAAGAAACTTCATGTTGCTTTTCTTTTCTTTTTTTTAAGGTTACCATATATGGTCCAAGGGATTGTCAGACATGGGCAGGAAGAATTTATTCTTAGTCAGATGGGAGGATTACTGAAAGCTTTGGTACCAAGTGTATGATCTGATTCACACATAAAATTCAGCCATGATGAGATTTCATGGGTGTTTTTAGCTTAGTGTGATATGTGATTCCACCCATTAAGGCTTAACATTATATGCAATCCAGATCATTGTTCAATGAATCATCACTTTAAAATTTTTGGTTTAATACATTTTGTGGAGTTAACCCATTCTTTTAGTCTAATCTATTTTAGAATTGTAAAAATGGAAAAGGGGGGTAAACTCAAATCTTCAGCAAAAGCAGACTAAAACTGAAATACACAATAAATTAAAAAATAGCCCGATTACAATTGTTTATTTAATTTTTTCAATTTAGACAGAAGCCCATCTCATAATAGGAACTAGACAGTTCACATCATTTACAAATAATACCATAACATCACAAGAAATACAAACAAGTCAATGAATCAAACAACATTTAAATAACCACAATGGGTTCCACTGACCCCCATGCCTAGGAACACATTCACATCTTGAGAGTTTTACCAAAAACCAGCAAGGTCAGAGCTGACCTTTAGAACACTGTTCTAAAAGACAAAAAAGCCCCCTTTCCTGGGTCCCACAATATGATATTCTTTTACCGATGGGATCTGATAATTTATTGTTTTAAATGTATGTAAAATGTGCACCATGCTTATCTTGCACCAGCTTTACAATTAGACTTAAACCAATCACAATTCCTTATTAACACCTAGGTTTAGTGATAAAAGAGCATGTTGTTAATTATGCAACAAACAGATAATACATATGAGTTTTATAAGTGTCAGTTACACAATCAAAGAATAATCTTTTATTTACAGGCATGACCAATCAAACTTAACCTGCAGTTTTGGTTGAAAATGAGATTCTCGTTTTCTCTCTCATATTTCATTCTAAGCAGACACTTTAAATCCCTTGTCTGACATTTTAAATCCACCATGTAGGTTCCAATCCACATTGCTCAGAAAGCTCACCTACATAATGCTTGCCTTTTCTTGTTTGCATGACAAAAAAGGAATAGTAAATCCAGCAATTGGAGTAGATAATCACCATTGTGTGAAATCCTCTTCAATCCACATTTTATTTTTTCTAATTGAGTTCAGCTGTCTGTTTAATAATTTTATTTCACCTGTGGTGGTCATAAATCTGCTTCCAATACACATTTAACATTAAAGAGATTTCAGTCTATTAGACTAGACACCACGCAGAGGAGAAAACAATCTCTAATCTAGAGACTCCAGATGCAAAAATCATTCCCCAAAGACGTGGTTTTACTTACCGTGCAAGCCAATTGGGGGGTTGGGGGGAGATAATTTAGAACTGTGTACTCCAGGAAAGAGGTATATTAGTAACAGTAATTTAAGCAGATACCAGCTTTTCTCAGCAATAATTGGTCTACGTTTGCATATTTTCTGAAAATGCTTCTATTGTGCAATTGTCCCTCAGTGAATGCAGTATTTTTCAAGAGATTATGCAGATATTATTGTCTTTCTGCTTTCTTCTTTTTTTCTGTTATTTTCTTAACAGTGTTTCTTAACAAAATCTGTTCAGAAGGCTATAATTGCCTTTTAATTATCAGTAATAAAAATAGGTTTGTTTATATTTTTTATTGATATAAAGTACTATTCTTCCTCTTAAATGCTTGTGTTTATAAATGTTAGAATTCACAAACATCTTTTTTTCCTCAGAATAAGTTACCAATTTTGTATTAAATGCTTCTCTTATGTACATTTTCAAAGATTGTTGGATAATTGATTCAAATCACTTTATAATAATTCTCAAATGCAAGTGAAACAATAACTGAAATTTACCTTTTGAAATATGGATTGTGATATTCTTGGATTCTATACAAAGCATATGCTAGGTTAATTAGAAGAAAATGTAATCTTACCTTAGTAATACTATATAATAATAATAATAATAATAATAATAATAATAATAATAATAATAATAATAAGTACCATGTCCAAGAATTTTATAAGATACATCAACAAATTGCAGCTTCTTGCAATAACACCAGCGGAACTGCAAAAAACTACGCTACTTGGAACATCGTATATCTTAAGAAGGTACTTGGTTGATACCTAGCAGCAACCCATATCAACCATTAGCACCAGTCAATGATATTTGTGATGCATTTTTGAATGTTCAATTGACTGAGTTTCATGTTTAATGAATAAAATATATAATAATAAATTAGTAAGACAAGAAAAAAGAAAGAATGGACTGGCCTAGATAAATGAAAGTGAATTATTGGGGGAAAAACATGTTCGTCTATGATGATTGACAAAAGCTTATCTGTTTTCAATAACATTTGTGAGTCTGAAAGGGTGCTACTAGATTCCTCCAGATCTGGTGCAGAAGACACACAGATTGATGACTGAAAGAAAAAGAAACAAAATCTCTATGGAGTCTATGGTGTTCTTTGAGCTTGGTTGTTTGCTTGCAGATGTTTCATTACTTAATTAGATAACATCATGACACTCACACTTCAAGGCTCAGCTATGCTTATTCTCTCCTATTGGATTAATAACTCCATGCAGTTAAACTATACCAGTAGCTACAGAAAACATCAGGTCAAATTAATCTCTCATTTTAAATATCTCTGAATACATTAAATATTAAATTTTCTATAGTGATTTTTTTTATTGAAAATGCTCTTTGATCATCTCTCTGAAAGAACCTGCCAGTGTTACTCTTCTAACATTGCTTGCTTTTTACTTGCAAAAATCAAAGCACCAGACAGATTTTAAAATGTCAGCATTGTGCTGTTGGTATTATACAAATAAAAATTTGCTTAAAAAGGATAAGATATTTATTTATATGTCATATGTTGTGTAAATGTCTAATTTGTGTTTTAATAAAATTTATAAATTTTTTATTTAAAAAAATTGCTTTTTTTAACTGTGTGAAATCCTCCCATGGAAAGAGTTCACATGAGAACAAAAATGTTCCCCACATACATATGAGTTACATGAAACCAATTATACATGAAACAGCATCCAATTATATCACAGCAATTGTAATATATTTGTAATACAATATATGATTATAACTAAGGCACACCAGATTTTAAAAACAACCTTTTAAGTTTAATAACTGATATCTGTGTTGTCTGGTTTTTCTTTTCATTTCCCATCTTGATTTTTCTAATCAAGGAAATATATTGCTTCAGATTGGAAGCCTATCTAGATTTTATTTGTATGGAAACTGGAGAACATGCTAATGAAGTTAACACATAATAGATCAGGATATTGTTGAATGATTGCTTTGTTTTGTTTCAAATATGCTTACCCAAATAAAGCCAAACACCATGATAGCATGATGTCTGAAACTAGTCCATGATAATGCTCTGGGCAAGGCAAATATTTCTGTGTAATAAATGAGAACTGAAATTCATATAAAGACATCCTATTCAGGAAGGGCCTGGAGATTTATCTAGGCTATTTTGCCTGTAGGTCTGGCAGGAGTGGTGAGCCTTGGCAATGGCTATATTAAACGGAGGTATTATTTATATTTGCCTGCTGACTGTGATTATATTTTATTGAATTTTTAATCATGGTTTTAGAAGAGTTGAATGCTGCTGTATACTTATTTTCTCCATTTCAGGCTCAGCTGCAGCTGTTGCTTGGCTAGACCAGGAATCCAGAAGCAAGAAAAGACATGTACAACAGCACTCTTGTTCAGCATATTGGCACTTTCATTTCAAAATGGGTATTCTGAAGTTTGGAAAGGAGCATCTGCCAGGTTAGGGCTATTTTGATGGAAAGGTATGAATACCAGTTTGTGAAATTCTGCACAGTAAAGGTAAAACCAGTCTCTGGAAGCGGCAACCTGGACTTGGCTCCTAAGCAGTGTTGGGTCTGGTTACTAAATTGACCAGAGACCATCAAGGAATATCAGGATAGCAGGCTAGACCAGGAAGTCAAATCAGCATTCTGGAAAAAAGCAGGAATACATCTCTTCTACAGGGAAGCTAATCCCTTTCTTGTTACCAGGAAAATTACATTGATGTCTTTGTGATGTCTCCAGGAGTTGAATGCAACTCGGAGACTGTATTCTTTATAGAAACTCTATAGGAAGATTTCTCTCTCTCTCTTGTAACTGCACAAGCTGGGCCACCCACTGAATGGTGGTAGATTCAGCATGCTAATGACTTAATTTCCTGTGCAAAGACGTAGGGATTAAGAAAAGATTAAACAAATTGATAGGGGATTAATAGCGATTAGGCATGATGGCCTTGTGCTGTTTTAGGATTTACAATTATTCCTGTCTCCAAATGCCAGTGGCTGGGATTGTCTATTATACTCACGTTCTGGAAGAGAGCTTTTCTTAGACATGTGACTGACCATTGTGGAACAATATGCCAATCCAGCATATTTCCCAAAATGCTGCTTTGGAATGAGAGTAAATGTAACAGTTTTCTTTTTTTAAAAAAAACATTTTTTAAAATTTTATTCAAAGCAAATCATTCAGATAGAAACTCCAAGAAAGAAAGAAAAAACACTAAACAAGCCCACATCAAAAAGTGCATAAACAAAGAAAAACAGACATATACATAAATTGTCCCTTCTAGTTGAATACTGATAAATATATTTCAAAGATAATAACTCCACCCCTTGTGAAGCAGGCACACAATTTATAAATTTCTACAACACTATTTACCTAACCCACTTAGCCTGACATCTATCTAGTATGTGAAAACCTATGTTTTAACAGGTAAAACCAATAACTAAATTAAATTTCTAAATCCTTTATTAGCAATCTATTTATTGTATTTCACTCCCCAAAAGTCCACAATGGCTTCTGGTGTACCATAAGTCACAACAATCATTGTATCTACAGTAGTCTATCCAGGATCAAATATCAAATGTAGTAGTTTTCTGAAACTTTAAAGTAGCCATGTCTTTTTACACAATTAGATGAAGGATGAGATGGTCACAAAGTTGGATGATTTTAAAAAAGAAGTAGAGAAATTTGTTATACCTTAGGCAATCTCTGGTTAATAGTCATTATGATAATGTATTATGAGCAATAGATTTCATAGCTCCTGGAAAAATTATGGAGAGGTAACAGTTACCCTAGGGCCTAGGCCATGCTTGATGACTTTTGATATATAGTACATCTTCAGGAACAAAATGTTAGAGTAGCTTTCCATGTGAAATTGTTCTTATTGTTTTTCAATGCCTTAAAGTTGGAGAGAGCAAATAACTTTAGATATTTCAGTACAAAGACAAAAAGATAAGTTTTCCTAAATTGAAAAAGTAGAGGGGGGGTCTCTACTTTTTGTTTTTGTAATTTTATAGTGATTGGTCTTACTGCAATAATACATTTTTACAGGCTTGAGTTTTGTGAAACAACAAATTACATCTGCAAAATAGGACAAATATGCTTTTAAGTATATATAATAGACTTAAAGTTAGAGGAAACCATAACAAACACAATGCAAATACACATTCAAAAGGTTTGGTCTATATATTTTTAGGTTTTAGAAATTAAAAAGTATTATGCAAGGGCCTGGGAGATATGGTGTCACAATTAAGTACTATTTAGCAACAATGTCATTTACAATGTTCACACACCTAACAACAACAAAATAACAGCCCATAGTTACCAGCACCCAAGTATCAGAGAGATTACTTTGGAAAAGTTTATTTTAATACATATCTCTTTTGACAAAAGATATGTTTTATTTTCCTAGTTAGATACAGAAATCTTCTCCAATTTGGAACTTTCCAGAGGTACTGTGAATAAACGTACAGAATCTTCAGCCTGCATAGCAGTTTGGTAGTGCCTAAGAACACCCTTTGGGGTATATATATATATATGCCATAGTTTGTACCCAAAGTTTCATAGATATGGAATTTGAATTTCCATTTGATTTCACAACAATCTGCAGTTGGTGGAATAGGATCTAATAATTATATAACATATATAATATAATTAGTGTGCTGTTCCTCTGAATGGTGGCTAAATTATACTTCCCCTGCCACCTTGCAAATCCATGTGTTTACTCCAAGAACAAAAGGCTCTTCGACTAGCATAACTCCCATTGTATGGATATATTTTCTGGAATGGGGCTACCTAAGGCGAAAAATATAAATGAAGTAAGAACACTAAGCTTCTCAATAGTCCTATGTTATTACTTAAACGTCGGAAGGTGTGACCATGGCTTGGATGTATCCAAGGAGATGTAACACTTCCACTTCCTCTGCCTCACTTCAGCTTGTGGAATTTGTTATGCCAATGATATCCTACTCACTATATAAAGACGTCCTATGAGTTCTCCTTCCCACTCAGGCAGCCTGCAGCTTCAAAGCACAATCTCTTCTCTGCCAAGAAAAACTTGTGCTGAGAAAGAGAGATTTAGGGAGTCTTTTCCTATTTGATTGATTGGCAAAGGATGGCTGTGAATCTTAGCTGGGCCTTAACCTCTGCCCTGTTCCTAGCTGCCACCACTGCTGGATTTAGTGAGAAAGGACTCAAGCAAATATTGCTGGAGAAACTGAAACTTCCAGATGTCCCTGCTCTCCAGATGACTGACCTGGAAAATCTAGTGATTCCAGAGAATATAAGGAATAAATACATGTCCATGCTGGAGCGGCACCGAGTGAAACGAAGAGCATTGCCAAGTTTAGCTGGGATCTTGAGAGGAGTTCCAGGCAACGCAGGTAAACTTGGTCTATGTTGCATGAAGCTAAAAGCAAATTCTCCATCCCCATTTGAAATCTGGAAACTTCATCAATGCCAACTGCTTAACAGATTTAATCCAAACCACAGGAAGACAGGATTTCTAAGATATTTTAAGCTAAATGTATCCACAAAGGTGAAATTTGAAGTTCAGAGCTTGTCTTGAAATCTAATTTATTTCTCATAACGGGGAGATGAGGTAGAGTTGATAGCTAGTTTTAAAGATTAAAACTTAACCTAGATATTATTCTATTGTAGTATTGTTCATAAAGTTATGTTACTTTCCTTGCAAAGAATGAATACATTGCATTTGTTTACTGTAACACAATCTTAAATGTGATTACTGAGAAAAATATTTGCTATTTAAGCACATTTTCTCCTAAATGAGGCTGATCCCTACTTTGTTGAATATCAGATGAAAACATAATCACGAACTATGTAATTGTTATTTACAAACAAATGAAGGGGAGTCCCATGTTATGGCTCTCACTATATAAAGAAAGAATTTTTGGTGGTTCAAACAATGAGAAATGTTGGCAAAGGAAAAGAGATTTAATTTGCTATGAAAGTTGTACATGTATTATTTTTAAAGTATTGAAAATACAAGATGCATTTTGAGAGAAAAAAAACATTGATGATTAAAGCAATTTTGTAAAACAATTATGCTGTCTGGAAACTCTTTCCCCAATGTATCTGGAGGGTACCAAGTTGTGGGGAAAAATCATGAGTAGACTTATCTTCTCTAAATATATGTTATAGCAGATGACAGTATATGACCTCCATTTGAGACGTTAGTAGTAGAAAGCATTGTCATGAATAAATACCATAAAGTTTTTCACTGATAAAAATATGGGTGGTTGACACAGGTCTTACTAATCACTATTTACAATTTTTATACTGTGTTTATATAAAGGAAGGATTGAAAAGTGCAAGATGCTAACAAAAAATAGAAGGAATTGGATGTCCATCTGTCTTCCTCTCGAATTTCTTTTTTTAATATAATTTTTATTGTAAACACATTTAAAAAAAACACAAACATACAATATTTATATCCATCAACTTTTTTTACAGCTTTTTCATAGTGATCATTTCTTAGTATTTACTATTTATACATATTTTAACTTTATCTTATTCCATATTGCTATCTACATTTCTCTATTTCATCTACATTTTACTTGATCTTTACATTCCAGTCATTTATATTATAATTTATTATTATTATTATTATTATTATTATTATTATTATTATTTATTGAATTTCTATACCTCCCTTCTCCCGAAGGACTCAGGGCGGTGAACAGAATAAGATTTCATATACATATAATAATTTTTTATATATATATAAACAGTAAATAATAAATTGAGTCAACTTAGTGTATCTGCTAAGACCTTGGAATAGAATTTAAATGTTTATGCTAGCCCTGCTTGTTGAAACAGAAAGGTCTTCAGGGCACGTTGGAAAGTGCAAAGATCTGGGATTATTTGTATTCCAGGGGGTATTTTGTTCCAAAGAGTAGGTGCCCCCACAGAGAAGGCTCTCTCCCTTGGAACTACTAGACGACATTGTTTTAATGATGGTACTATGAGTAGGTCTACTCTGTGAGAGCGTATTGGTTGGTGGGAGGTTAAGCAATAGCCTTCATACTTTTGTATATTTATACAAAGTCATCTTATTGCCCCCACAAACTGGGTCCTCAATTTACCTACCTTAGAAAGGATGGAAGGCTGAGTCAACCTTGAGCCTGGTGGGATTAGAACTTACAGTAATTGCAGACAGCTGGTGTTAATCACAATGCTATCAGTCTGCTGAGCCACCAGGTCCAACTCCATCCATTCCTTTAACCATGTTAGGCATGCTGCTTGATAATAGATCTCCCATTCTGGAAGGGCTACTCCACCTCTGTCCCTGGTATCTTGTAAAGTTTTTAATCTTATTCTAGGTTTTCTCTCTTGCCATATAAATTTTGAAATCAATAAATGATCTATTTCATGTTATTATTACTTAAAACAGCCTTCGATAATCAGATGTCTTTCAGATATGCTGTATTATACAGTACAATCTCTACCAGATAATTGAAACATCACTCTTCCAGAGAAATAATGTCTTGTATTTCCTGTATACTTCTTGTATATAGGACATGGCAGTTGGAAATAATTATTTAAAAGTGTTCCTTCTGTTTCCATCCACAAAGATATCTCAGGAGACATTCTCTATTCAGACACCACCCGTCAGAACCTGATCTTCGACATGGAGGGCAGGATTCCAGAAAACAGTGAAGTCACCATGGCTGAACTGAAGCTTTTCAAAAAGCCCCTGGACAAGAAACATCTGCCCAGCAGGCAGTCACAAAGGCCAGTCATGAATGCAAGGGTGACTGTGTACTGGGTGCAACTTCAAGATAATGGCACTAACCGGACCTCTTTAATTGATTCCAGGTATGAAGGAGAGTCCACAGTCTCAGAGTATTTTACAGCATGGGAATATTATTTTGTCTCTAATATAGCCAGTTTAAAATTGTATAGTCAACATAATATAATTTAAAGAATGTTTCTGCAATTTATTTTTTTAGTACTTTCTAAGAATAATATATAAGCTGGTTCACATACTGTGTTTGGTTTAATGTAAGTGTGTGTGAATTCAGTTACTATTGTTAATAAATAATGGTTTACAGTTTGTAGCAATGTATGCATCTATGTTGCTGTAAACCGTGTAATCTATAATACCATGATTCAATCTGATATGTGAATGCAGCCACTTGTTCTCCTGAGAAATTACGATATTAGCTTTGAAACAGATTAAGCTGGTGTCTCAATCTCAAGAGTGTCAGGACAGCATCCACAATATTGGGCTAGCCATACAAAATAGATTCTAAATAAGGCATAGCTACTATTTCTGGACTTCAGAGATCAAAATAACCACTCAGTAGTAGCAAAGAGTTAAAATTTTCTGGGTCTCCTTAGTGCCAACTAAGGGTCATCCAGGTTTTGCAGTTTGGATATAACAGCCATAAAATAAGGTATTTGTCTACGTAGATATTTCAATGGTTTTCAGATAGCCTCACACGGTTTCTAAAAACATAATGAAAATTTAGGATCACAAAAATATTTTATTCCCAGTCTAGATCAATATATGTTACATTTTGGATTTATCAGTTGTGTTTAATTGGTAGCAGGAATTACAATAGTAACCAGATTCTTCTTTGTTTTATACTATTTTGTATACTGTAGCATTAATTTAATAACTGTTCTACTTGTCATTCATTTATTTATGTCAGTACCATTTGTGCATTTTGCCCATAATTTATTTGAATATAGTTTATTTTTATTCTGTCCAAATGTTATTTTTTTTATATTTTCTAGAAAAAAGAAGTTAAAGTAAAAGTCTATGTTAGAAGCTATTGTTGTTAGCATTCTCATTATTATTATTCTATTCATAGTATGTTTGCATTAACCAAAATATTCTAAGCTCAGCTAAGCATTTCATGCTTTTTAAACTTTAGATTAATTCCCATTATGGAGTCTGGCTGGAGGAATTTTGATGTTACTCAGGCTGTACATTTCTGGCTGAAAACAAAAGCCTCTGGACCAATGCTCCTGGAGATTTGGATCGAAGGAGAAAGATTAGGCAGCTATGCCTCTGAAATGGCCAAAGTTGTGCGTTTTACATCACAGGACCCTTCAGATAAGGCACTAGGCAAACCAGAGTTGGTCCTTTACACTCTTAACTTGGAAGAATATGGGTAAGTGTCATGTTATTTCTGCATACTAACATTGTTTCATTTCTGTCTTTCATGATGAAAAAAAAAATCCCAGGCAAAAATTTGGCAGCTTCCAACCTATACTGAATAATGTTTACTTGAAGCTAAAGTCAACTGGATTTTGAGTTAGGTTATTCAAGATAGTGGCTGTTTAGTATGTCCTTTACCTTGTTCAATTGCAAGTAAGTCCATGTTCAACAAGACTCTCAAGAAAGTTGGCATGACTTTGAATTTTTGCTTGCTTGCTTCGGAATAAATGTTCATACAGTGGCATACAGATCATTTCTCATTTCACAACTAGTACAAACACTTTACATGAACAGTAATACTTCAGCAAACAGCATCTGGGAGAGCTTCTAGTGGGGAAAAATCTGGAATTAGTCTGTCTTTGATTAATTAAAATAACACCTTATCAGAGAGGAATATAATCTATAATTGCTACAGGTATATAGTAAATTTATGTATACACACACACACACTAAATGAATGTGATGCAGAATATAGAGTGGCTTACAGTACAAATTCTTGATCATCAAGCAGTAAGTCAGGTAATGTTAGACGAGTCATTATAATCTGCCTGACATAACTATTAGAGGAAAGTCTGTAGAGATTCATCCAGGTCATGGTTGTCCCAAAGGTGCTTTTTCAGGAGGCAACTGGAATTTCTTGGCTTCCACTGTCCACTGTCCTGTCAGAGCTGAAGAAGCTTCTTGGATGGGAAGCAAAACATCTTCAAAGAAAAAAAACAAGAAAGTCCAGTTGCCTCCTGAAAAAGCACCTTTGGGACAACTGTTAGAGGAAAAAAATGGAACATGTTGAAGTAGTGTGTGAGACAAAAGCCAAGAGAGTTGAGCATGTAATCAATAAACAGACAACATCATTAAAACAACCAAAGATATATTTACGTTCTTGCCTAAAGTTTTGTATGTGTCAGTCGGCTTCTTGCTGAAAACTTTCAGCAAGTGGGTCCAGTGACTCCAGTCCTACATCTTAGATGAATATTGATTCTGCTTTTTAACAGAGGACCTGGGGACTGTGGAGAAGGAAGCACGATGGAGAGGTCTACCTGCTGCCGGCAAGAACATTATATCAATTTCCGTGAGTTGACCTGGACTCAGTACTGGATTATTGAGCCAGCTGGCTATCAAGCTTACCATTGTATGGGCAGCTGCTGGCAGCCGAAGAATTTGCTGCATCATTTTGGCTATGGAGAGAGATCCTGTGCTGTGGTGGAGAGTTCTCCTCTTCCCATGATGTATCTTGTCAAAAAGGGAAACTACACAGAAATTGAAGTGGCAGAGTTTCCTAATATGATTGTAGAAAAATGTGGCTGTATAATGGACAATATAGCTGTGATCTAATAAACGTTCACAACTGGTCAGTTACAAGAAAATCTTTTTCTGCTTCAGCACAATAACTGCAATCGTTAATACTTATTGCTCAGAATCCAAACCACGTGTGGCATATTGAATCTAGCTGCTAATCTTGTAGACCCATTCATTGCACAATTCCAAAATCTCTTTTGGGGCAACGCTTGGATTAGGCAGCTTCAAAGATATAAACTTTTTATAGATCTTCAGATTTCTTCATGAGGCAAGATGCTAGAAAAAATGAATGGAACTGGAGAGAAGGAAAATTAAACGAAAGCTTTGCCTGATCAGAGTTTAATGGAATGTAGAAGATGGAAATATTCAAGCTGAGCTCTTTCTGGGTTATTGATCTTTAGGTTCCTTCAGAATTGCTCCTTAGATGGCTGGTACAAAGAAGCAAGCAAGTGATTGTTCCCAGATGTACAGTAAATACTATTGCAGCTGTTATCAGAATTGGTTCAACTTCAGATTGGTTTAATTCCACCAAATAACAGTATTCAGAAGAAGATACAGTTTAACTGAATTTTGACAGAGGCTATAGTTTCCTAGGGAGAGCTGCTGTCCTGTTGCAGAGCAGATTATTAATGTTAATGTAAAACTGTTAGTATTGGGACAAGATTGGAGACAGATGGGTCTTTTACTTTATAGCTCTTGCATTTGTATTAACAAGGGCAAGGGTATACTCTCCCACCAGACTCTCCTGAACGATCTTTGTCAGAAAAGATCAGATCCTAAGCGCCAGAAGACAAGTTTACCTGTGTTGTCCTACATACAGTATGATTTTCTCCCATTGATATGAATGGCAGCTATTCATTTCCTATAAGAAGAGTAAAGGAGCATTTCAAGAATACCAAAAGAGTAGATGTTGGAATCTATATGTTCTTAGTAATGGAGAATCACAACGGATATCACCCATAAGCTTCCTTCCTTTCATCTCTTACCTTTAACATGATTTTATATCATGTTTAAAAATTGACCCAGAATTGTATTGCCTTCTATAAGACAAGATCTTTTTATACAGTACCAGATATACCAAAACTAACCACCTTATGTTTGTTCTGAGGGGTTTATGTTGGCTATCAGTTTGTTTCCAACTGAGATCTGCAGTGCTATTTATTACCTTTAAAGCTGGAGATTATTTGTGTTTATACTACAAGAAAGAACAGTGCTTGTGGGAAGATCTCTTCCTCACTCACTAAGGTAATCTGAAGAGACTACCTACATCAAGCTACTCAGTTTCATTGGGCAGCATCCCATAAGGTACTCTTCATTAAGAAATGTCTCTCTTTAAATGGATGTTTAATATTTATTATTATAATAATAATTAATTTTAATAGTCTTTGTTTTATATTTTTTACTGTATATCCATATAAATTTCTTAAATAAATAAATGTCACAGACAGACCTCAATAGTTATGGCATCTAGTATTTAAAGTCCAACTGATTTTATAGGAAGAATTAAATCTTTACTTACCTCTTTCTGGCTGTAGTCAATGAGACAACACTATTCAATGTTGGCTAAGTAAGGACAAAGATATGCTCAGTATGAAATATAATTAACTACAAATCAAACTACAGTTGAACAGAGAGCTGAGTTTTCTATCTGATTCATAATCAGTAACTATAATAACAAGCACTTATCTGTAAATAATGCAGAATTCATGTATGTGTCTTCTTAGAAACCAATATGTGTTATCTCGGCAAAGCATATTTTTTAAAAAAAAGAAAAATGTGTCCAATTTTGCATAAGCACACTGCCTCTCAGTCCCTGCTGCTCATTAAAGAAGCCCAACATTTCCCCCCTACTGAAAATAAAGGTGCAGATGATTTTAAGAGACAACTTATTACTGTGTCTTTTTTAAGGCTTGCACAGAAGGTTGAAACAGGTTGAAACAGCTATGCTACTTTAATGAATAGCAGAGCTATGCTCTCTTGAGATCCTGAGTATTTCTGAATTATTGTTGGACTGTGCACAGTCCGGGTGCTTAATAACTAAACATAGAACCATAAATACTATGTGAGACATGTAAAAAAATATTTGCTTAAGCATGTTTTTGATGGTAGTATTATTTTAATGTACAAATTATATTTGATGAATTTTCTTAATTTGTACATATGTGAAATGATATAAAATAAAATATAAAATCAACACAATGGGGCTTTTTATTTCCTCTTTCATAAGCATCTAAGGAATGTATCATTTAATAGTAAAGTAATTTTACAATGGTAGATCATTATAGTAAGTTCTAGCAGAAAAGTAACTCAAGGAGTAAACAGTCACATGAAAGTGTCTCAAGAAGAACAGCTTTGTATGCTTATTTAAAGCATTTATATGGCCATTCAATTCAACTATAATTCTGGGCAGCATACCGAGAGTATCAATAAGCAAAAATATGAAAACATATGACTATGTTGATCATCAGACAAAAAATCCACACTGAAACAATCTCTTTGTTATGACAATAGAAGTTTTTCACTTTCAAAATCTTTTCATCAATCAAGACAGCTAGACTTTGGAGGAAATGGGAAGAGGTGGATGATATTTGAATAGTCTATGAGTGCTCTTGTCCTTTAAAGCCAACATGAATTATCACAATCAGAAGTAAATAATATCAGAACTGTCTTCTTTATTTATGTCTAAAATTCAACTGCATTTTCAGTTTACCTCAAAAATTAATCTGTGTAACTCTGAAGTTCCAACATTAATCTGTTCTTAAAAAGCTGGACTAGAGAAATATCCCCTCACCTATTTCAAATATTAGGTTAGAACATTTGGTTACAGAGACAATGGAACAGAGCATTTGCTGGATTGCTGTTCACTTTATGACTGAACTTCAGATAATTATGAGGGATGGTTTTCCTTTTAGTGAAAAGTATATAATGTTTATAAAACTTTAAAAATTGGACTGAGAAGGACACTATTAAACTCCTGTTTGGGACTGATTCATAACCTACCATACTTTTAGTATGACTGCCTGAATACAGCCGAGTATGACAAATAGTGAACAAAATAATAAAGCCACATGTTTGACCTCACAGTATGCTTGACCTCAATTTGATATTCTCCAGCCTCAGTTCCCTTGAATGTTAATCCATATGGTCAGAATAGTTCCTTCTATATATAGGAAGGAATAAAAAAAGGTGTCAGAGTTACTACTCCCATAATTCACAGCATAGTACCAACTGGAGAGCATACAATTGAAGATATCTGATCAATATTGGCCAGGTTGACAAGTTTGTTAACCATAGTTTCTTGAATAAGTCACAATTGAATTCATTCAGATAATGCACTACTAGGCCCTAAATTATGATCTCCTAATCAGAAAGCTGCCTTGAAGCCTAGCAAATTAGCTCTATGACTTAGGAAAATATGGCCATCCAGCTACTATAGCGGCAGTTTAAATCCAGGAGTAAATCTCCGGAGACTAATGTTCTTAACCCGTTAACCAGTTGTTTTGAATTCAGTAACACTCTCTTAATAAGGTCACCATGCGAGTGAAATGGGGGGAAAGAACCTTGTATACTGTTGAAGGAAAGGGGAACATACTAGAAATAAACTCTGGGGTTTGCTATCAAAAACTGGCAAAGGGAATTATAGTAAAACTACTACAGCCCATAGAGCTCCTTTTCAGAATATTCCATCCCATTCTTGCTCCTTCCTACTGTTTTTGTTTCCCGCTTTTTCCATTACTCCTTCCTATGTAAAGAAGAACCATTTTGACTATATGGATTAACATTCAAGGGAACTGAGGCAGAGGTGGGTTTCAGCAGGTTCTGACCAGTTCTGGAGAACCAGTAGCGGAAATTTTGAGTAGTTCAGAGAACCAGTAAATGCCATCTCTGACTGGCCCTGCCACCATCTATTCTCTGCCTCCTGAGTCCCAGCTGATCGGGAGGAAATGGGGATTTTGCAGTAACTTTCCCCTGGAGTGGGGAGGGAATGGAGATTTTACAGTATCCTTCACCTGGAATGAGGTGGGATTGGAGATTTTACAGTATCTTTCCCCTGCCACACCCAACAAGCCACACCCACAAAATCGGTAGTAAAAATTTTTGAAACCCACCACTGAACTGAGGGGGTTACTAGTAAATGTAATCAGTGTATATAAATATATCCTACAGTTTCGAAATTACAATTCTCAAACTAGAAAGATATTGCTAGTTAGTAATTTTCGGGATTGTAGTTCATACACTACACTGCCTAAAGGGTACCAGGCAGCTAGCCTGACCTACATTTCCTGAAATGATCAGATATATGGAATTGTTACCCTGTATCAGGGTGAAATCTACTTATCTTCCTTACTGGTTCGGAAGCGCACGTGCCACACACGCGCCGTGCACACGCTTGCTTCACTTGCATGTGTGTGCATCACATGCACGTGCAGACCTGCGCATGCGCAAAACCTGCGCATGAGCAGAAGGTAAAAAACACATTACTTCCTGGTTAAAACCAGGAAGTAATGACACCCGGGTGGGTGGGCGGAGCTTTGCTCTGCCATCACTAAGAATCGCCGAACCAACGGCCAAGATCACTACCGGACCAGGCAATCCGGTCCGATCCGGGAGCATTTCACTCCTGCTCTTTATGTCTAAGGGTATAGCAGCTTAGCAAACCATTTGTTTCTAAAACTATGTGTATTTTTAAAAATAGTCTTTCCATTTATACACCCAGTGATTTATATCACTATGAACATTTTAGGAAACAGGAGCAGGGTTGGGCAGAATTAGAATTTCTTTTCACATCATTGTTACAATACTAAATAACTTAACACAACAACACAAGCAACAAGGCCACATATATTTTCCAACCACTTAACACTCTTTCCTTAGGATTGGCATGGTTACTTGTTTCTGGCCTTTGCCTTATTCTCTATTCTTTTTTCTTCTTCAATATACAGTAATGAAGAAATGGGAATGAAGTGTATGAAGCATATATGTATGTTGTCCTTGAGTTACCTCCAGTTGTGGAGTGGATTGCTAATTTACTTTTTCAAAGTTCTCACCCTTCTGCCAAAAGCCTTAGTCTTTCTTTAAGGAGGTGGACATCAGGTTTTTCCTATCAAAGTTGCCCCAACCCATTTCTCTTCCTTTGACAAAACCTTGCCAACCCCGTCTGGCACCCTGCTTTCCAGCAGTGGCTCTAATGAGTAGTTTGAGCACAAAACAAATACTGAATCCACATCCCAACAAACGTGGAAATCAGGGTGGCTCCATTTGGCTTCTGTTTAAACCAGCTGGAGTTCTGGCAAAAGTACAGGGCAAACAAAAGATGTGTGGCTGGACGCATTTCAGGATGTGCATTTTGTTTTAAAAGGAATGTTATTGGATTTTTCAAAATACTGTCTTGAAATGTATCTTAGAAGTAGTTAGAACACCCTTATGGAAGAAAAATAATTACAAAATTCCTACCTGAACTTGTCTGAGAGATATGTATGCTGGTATTGCTTTGATCAAAGGAGACAATAATTTTCTATTACAAAATAACAGAGAAAAATATATTTTTCTTGCTCAAATTTTTTTCCAGTTGAGTAACATGTTATGGTGTTGGCAGAAGATAAAGACCTCAAAAAGTGAATTAGCAGCTGGCTCCAGGTATTTAAGGACTCCCATTGGAAATACTCCCAGTTGAATATCCATTCTTAATCTATTTTGTTTTCATGGGTCAAGCCGATATACTAAATCAGAGCCTTGGTGGCGCAGCAGACTAAAGTGCTGTTAAGTAGCACCAGCTGCCTGCAATTACTGCAAGTTCAAATCTCACCAGGCTCAAGGTTGACTCAGCCTTCCATCCTTTCGAGGTAGGTAAAATGAGGACCTGGATTGTGGGGGCAATAAGCTAACTTTGTACAAAAAAGAACACCGCTTAGGGGGAGGCAAAAGCCCTACTAAGCAGGTATATACAAAAGTATGAAGGCTAATTGCTTAATGTATTGTAAGCCGCCCTGAGTCTCCAGAGAAGGGTGGCATATAAATCGAACCAATAAATAAATAAATAAATCAGGATTATTTTTTAAAAACATTTTAGTTGGATAAAGTATAATACCATGATTTAGAAATTATGCTAAACCATATTTTACAAACCAATATTTGGATTCCTGTACATTAAACCACAAGACATGGCTTAACCTAAATGAGTGAATCAGTCTGCTATATCTGCTAAATAGGGCTGTAAGATCTGGGCTGTAAAAATCCAGATAACCATTAAATGGAAGCAAAGATATTTGAAAATAAATAACTTGTTCCTATTCAATAGTTACCCTATTTTTTTGCATCTAAGATATGGTTGCTCTAGCTAAAATGTTCTCCTAACTAAAATATGTAAATGTTATATGTAGTTTAATTCAGGATTCAAAAATCTTTTGCTGTCAAGTTGACATATTATTGTCTTTCAAACAGTTAAAAGGGGGGATTATATTGTAGTCCTTCAATAAGTTTTTTTTTTTTTAAATGCATTATGAGCAAACTCATTCTGTGCCTTCAGATTGTTTGGGCTACAATTCCTTTTATCCTTCAGTTGCACACTGAGATTTGCTTGGAGAACTATTATTGTTCTAGTGACGTATAATGCCTTAGTGAATAGACTAATAAAGCAATTAGTAAAAGATTATTAGCGTTTAGTAAGAATTGCTACATGTCTCTTTTCTCTTTGACTGGGATGTCATGAATTGCAAAGAACAATTTTCTTTTTTAATTGAACTTTTACACATCAAATAGCATTTCCTTCTCTTTAGGGTTCTTTATTGACATTTGTCACTTTCAGTTTTCACATACACATTAAGACTGCAGTCATTCACTGGTGCATGAGTGCCACTGAATATAGTAACATGTACTTGCAAGAATGCCTGCGTATGATGATGCTGTTAACTGGAAGATTTCAAGGATCCTCCAAGCACTGGAGTAAAGTTCTTCAAAGAGGGACAGACAATTGTTGCTCCAGCAAGATGCCTGAGCTGAGTTCAGTTTTCTGGACTCTAAATCAATCCAGTGATGGGCTTGATTCAATTGTTTGGAGTTTAGTAGATTATATGAAGCCAGTGGCTATACCTGGCCAACTA